TACGAGCGCTGGCTGACATAGACCTCTCGCTTGAAAGTCTACCATTGTCTCTGGTCAGTTCATGGAAGGCGAACATCTCGACATCTTGTAAACCCATCTCAGGGTTTACAAGATGTCGATTGATTACCAGCTCGCCTGCACTCTCTCACTGCGAACATCTGTTATTATTGCAGAATCTCTAGAACAGTGATTTCATAAAATGTTGATTCAACAAAATCTTAGACACGCGTATGTTTTTTCCTCTTCTCATTTTCCATTTGCAGGTTGTTCTCAAGACAATTGGGGCGTAAAAATACCGTATAAGTAAGCGAGTGAACAGAGAGCCATGAAACTTTTACAAAATAGTTCTTTTAAGGTAGTGCATTCTTCATACTAAATAAATGTCTGAAAAAAAAATTGCAAAAAAAGACCTTCTTTCTTTTTTTTTGCGCGGTTGGAAAATAAAAGCAAACCTACGAGTTGACGCTGCTACATACACCACATGATACAAAAACAAGATCTGACCGTGTGTGGCACCATACATCGTCAACCCGACGGTTTGATTCTGCATTTCTCCCGCGCATAAACAAAAAACAGGCGGTTTTTTTTTTTTTTTTTTTTTTTAAGGTTTTTCCGTTATTTTACACTAGCGAAATTTTAGTATGATTAAAGCGCCACCTAAAGGCACCTTTGTGAAAAATATCATGACACTCTGTTTCATGTCTTATTTATGCGATTTCGTTTACGACAGCGTGTAGAGTAATATTGAACTCAGTTTAAGTGCTGTTTTTTTTTGCATTTATTTTAAGGGATGCTTTGATTGTAATGTCGTTCATTTAGTTAATTCGTGTTAAATAATGGGGCGATAGGAAACCATTCATAAACAATTTGCGACACCTCCGGGCACGTACTAGCCCATTATCGGGAGCATTTCTAGCACGCCATGAACGGCTGAGTTAGTGCGCCGTCTAGTGGGTCGGTGCGAAATTATAGGGGTACTATCATGGGAAAGCGCTCCCCTAGGCGCGCTACGGGTGACATGGTCGTATATATAGAGTTGGTCGTGACCTAAACAACAATTGATTTTTCCCGATAAATCTAGCGGGTAGATCTACGCCGCGGCACCTACACAGAAAATTAGTTCCCCGCTAAATGCAGGGGGAAATTTATGTTACGTTACCTATAGACCAATTCAGTGTCTCCGTTAATTTTAGCGGAAAAATTGACGTCACGTGACCTAATGACTAATTTCATTTCCCAGCTTTACTTAATTCATTAAATATTGAAACCGTGTGTAAAATTGTGAGGCTTTATTTGCAAATATTGATCGAGGTAACTTTCTCATATGTTCACAAAAAGAATGTACACACCACCTGTTAAGTTTTGTAGCAATCTTGCTTATTAGTTAAGGTGATTTTTGTTAGGAAAGTTGTCTTTCCAGAATTGCGTCGGCATTGTTTTTTTTTTTTTAGCTTTCTATGTTTGTGTCGGCGGGGCCAGAGCGTCTGCGATGCGGGAGCGGTTCCCCCCGCGGTCGTTAAGAGGCGTCTCGGGTTTCGGCAGCCTGCTCGGACCGGGAGCGGGACAGCCCGCGCTTGGAGAGGCTTGTAGCTTTTAGCCGAATGTGCCTGTACATAGAGGTTTTTGCCGCTTAGTATCAAATTGTCGCCTTTTACCCGTTGTAATAATTTAGCTGTTGGCGCCAGTCCGTCTGCGTAAAATGCAGGGGTTGATTCTAGAAAGAATTTGGATTTGGCCGTTAGAAGTGCCAGGCTGACAGCTCGCCGACCATTGGAGAACAGTGTATCACGTGGGAGTGGTGAAATTTGAAGGGATTGGTTGGACCCTGAGGGGAAAGGAGGCCCCTACGAGGCTACAAAAGGATCCCCGAGAGGGATTCTGGAGGATTGGCTTCGATTCGATTTTGGGAGACTGGGAACAAAAGTACGGGGTTTAATTTTTTTAACTCACTGTTGAGTTGTTTTGTTTCATAATAAACGTGGCCACACGGGCCACCGTAAAGTCAACCAACGTCGCAATGTGTTCAGCGGGATCGAACAACTTTTAGTATTTCTTTTTTTTATTATCAACTTCCTGGGGGGCTGTCATCGGGCGAACACCATCATCGGTCGTCACCATCCGGACCAGGACGCGCCCATCCCCACGGAAAGTTGACTCCACCTGACGACGCTTTCGATGTGAATATCCGAAGCGCAAGTTCGTCTGCTTCTTGCACGAGTGTGTCAGAACGCCGATCTCTTATTGACTGATTGAAAACAAAGATAGTGAGTAGACCCCAAGGCATTTAGCATTGAGGTCTACCCACTATCCTTTCAATCCGAGCTAATCAGAACTAGTCGTCGTTCTCACGCCACCGCAAAACCTGCGCTAGAAGCAGACGACTTGCTCTCCGAATTCCTGTCGTAGTACGTGAAGTTAAGTTTTTGTGTTTCATTTAAGGTAAATTAAATTCATGCGGTAAACGCGGTACCGCTGTGCCCGACGCGAGGTTAGATAGCACGTAGACCCGCGAAGTCGCTCGGTGGCCATGGGGGTATAATTTGCAGACGAGGCAAACGGGTCTGCTCGAAGCGGCCGTGAGCGCTGGCGCCAAAGTCACGTGACTCATAAGGCCGGCCGGCTCTCCGGCTCGGCCCCGACATCCCGGACGACGCGGCAGGCAGTTGCTCGACGCCTGGGTCAGCGAACGACTCCCTGGCGAAGACATCCGCTCGTTCGTGGCATCTGAAGTGACGGGAACAGCGGGTAAGGCGGGCATGTAACCTTTGTTTTCTGCTTTGTCTCGCACGTTGTGTGCAAATGCGGCTGCTGAGTTTCATCGTAATCACCGACAGGTTGAGAGCCTAATAGTTGCTCTGCATGTACTGGGTCCAGGCAGGTAACCAGGATTTTGTTTCGGGGTGGGGGCAGAGGGGGCCCGCCCATGACAAAATGCCGTAAGAGGGGGAGAGGAGGTCCCAGCAAAATGGAAGATATGGGGGGGGGGGGGGGGGCCCATGCCCCCCCCTCCCCCCCCCCCCCCCAGCTGGCTACGTGCCTGACTGGGTCCTTAATTTGTCAACGACTACAGGTCGTTGACAAATTCTACGCAACGGACAACGTTCGTGCATACTATGCACGAACGTTGTTCGCGGTAGCAATCGTATCTCTGAAAAGGTGTATTCTGGGATTTTTTTAAGAGGGCGATTTGGAATGTGTGCGTTTGAAAAATTAATACCTCGTTATTTAGCCCACCTATTCAATAACTTTACGTAGAGGAAACAAAACAATGTACGAGACTTGTTAGTTTAATGCTTGCATTTTCCTGCGATCCACACCTGCAGGGGCCTGTTCGAAAGGACTGCTGCATGATATAAATAATAACAGACAAGTAAAATATAGCTTATAATGCTCATAAATATATCAGCATTTACTCCTGTTAAAATGCTGCTTATGAGGCTAGATGACGGATGTGAAACGTGTGCACGTTTCAGTTGCACAGTGCATGCTCTGAATGAGTACTATTAAGTATTTTTTATGAGAGCTTAAAGGCTGCTGACCCTAATCCAGTTCACGGAACTTCTTATCAGCGTTCCAACAGTGCCGGAGTGTCGCCGTTTTATTATGTGGCCTAAATAGGGTAGCTTTACCAATAAAATGGTGTTACTGTTAACAAAACGTTTATGGCACAGATAGCGGAAACCACCAGGTGAAGAACTGAAATAAGGGTAATGGCGCACGCTAGCTAATGAACGATCATGCGTAAACGCTAACCCCCGAGACTCTTCGTTTGTTTCCTTGTCTCAGGGTTTATTAGTATAAGTACGCGAAGAAGTTTCATTTGAACATGTTTTTATTAGAAACCGTTACCTACCTTTTTTATTTTTTTATTAATCTTGTTTGTTTTTAGAATAATAATATAAGTAATGGGAAGCACATAAAAAAAAAAGCTTTCAGCTTTTTCTCTCTGGTGAAGAAGGAAGACTAGCGAAACTGTACTATGGTGGGAATGATGCAATGGCCGGCCGCAAGTCGGCAAACCAGGATGGAAAAGCTCGAAAGGTTTCCGTCATCTATGAACGACGGCGGCAATTAGACAACCGACAAGCCGGTTGTCTGGTTGCCGCGGTCATTATTAGATGGCGCTAGCTGTCCAGAGTTTCGTGTCGAGATTGGTTTTCTCACAGACACATTACAGAGGAAACTAGCCCTTAAGAGCTCCGCTGTGAAAGACACAGGAGCGGACAAGACGATTTTTCCAACTGGTAGCATGGGACGGAGAATGCGATTTCCCTACTGGCAGCATGACATTTAAACGTCTGCTGCCAGTTGGGATATTGTCTTGGCCGTCCCTGTGTTTTATCCTTGCCAGCATGCTCGCCATTTCAAGTATATTTTCTAGAATAATTTTCGCATCATATATAACCAAAAAAGGCTTATAAATTCGCTTACGCAATATATCTGTAGACAAGACTTTTTTGTATTCGTAGAGTTTGATTAGGGTTCATATATGTTAAATTATTGATAATAATAGTTATGGTATATTAAAAGGTAATATATGAGTTTCCACTCTGAAATTAACGTTGACGCAGCGATTGCATTCAAATCGTTCATTGCATTGAACTGAGCTCCAGAATGTCCAGGCATTGTATTATCCACAGGCTGCATGTCTTCAGCATCCTTCGTCAGCAACCAGAATTAGCCTGCCACATATGTCACGCACTCGGATGATGATAGTCATCGAAAAGACAATACTGAATTTCCGAGTGGGTCTTGTTAGCAGCTAGTATCAGACCGTAGAATAAAGCGGACATTGTAATCTTCATAGCATAAGGTTAGTAATCAGATCTCGCGGCAAAACCCCACAGAAACGAGGTTATGTTCAATCAATCACTTCTGGTGTTTACAGAAGTTAGGCTTGAATTACATTCAAAATTAAACATTAAGAGCACAAACAAACGGTGGTAATCAGTTCTTTTTTCTAGGATTCTTACTTCAAACAAACCAATATCTTGATTATTTTTTTTTCATGCTTTTAGAAGAAAACATTCAAAGCAATGGCCCCAACCTTCGCCTACTGGGATTCTCGAGGCTTGGGCCAAGTGACCCGCAACCTTCTGGTCTACAAGGGCGTGCCCTTTCAAGACAAGCGCTACAAAAAGGGACCGCCTCCCGAATACAGTCGCGACGAATGGCTGGCCGACAAGTTCTCCCTGGGCCTCAAGTTCCCGAATCTGCCCTACTACATCGATGGGGACGTCAAGCTCACACAGAGTGTGGCCATCTTGCGTTATCTCGCAAGAAAGTACGACCTGGGTCCTAGGTGAGGAGACGTAAATTGCATAGGAGCTCCTGTTCTCTTTTTCGATTTTCCAGAAAACACAATATAATTTTACCGAGATGCAGTGTCTTTCTTTTATCTATCAGATTATATTGTGTGCCATTCGAAAGTTGGTAAACTTCCCCTTTCACTACAAGGTGTTTTCGAGGGAATTTGAGGCTAGTGATTTCTTATATTCTTTTTCTGGGGCATTGGAGGAGTGAGGAAGTCAAAACACTATAACGAAAGCGCTTTGCTAGGGTGTACGAACGGCTCGATCACTATATTTAGACGCTGTAGGACGTTAGTTTGACATGTCTCTGCCCAACGTGTAGTATTTTTTAGAGTATCAACAGGTGTAATATAAGCGTTTACGTTAAAGACGTAGATTTTATTCTCAACATTGTCTGTGTTTTGACTATAGATTAAGTTGCGTAATTTTTTTTTTAAATAAATAGAAAATCTACAGAAGTCCAAATCCACACCTTTTTAAAGCTGTGTTAATGTTTGAATCTGAGTTATTCGTACCATCTTCCTGTGTATCTGTAATTCACGAAGGACGATAAAGAGCCATTTGATATCAATATTTAACGCTGCTGGTTTCTCACTCATGATAGGATGCATTTATGTACTCACCAGGAATGAGGAGGAAACCAGAGAGCTGGACGTCCTCGAGCAACAGGCTCGGGACCTCGCCACCAACCTGATCCGCAGTTTTCTCCCTGGTGTCAACTTGCAAGAAGCCCGTAAGAAGTACGAGGAGAACATGGGGAACGTACTCAAACCCTGGGCGGACCACCTGGCCAATCGAAAGTGGGCCGTGGGCGACAGGGTCACCTACGTCGACTTCCTGGTGTACGAGGCTCTAGACTGGAACCACGAGTTCTGCGCTGCGGCCTTCAAGGACTTCCCGGCTCTGGAGCAGTACCTCAAGAGGTTCGAAGCGCTGCCCAACATTAAGGAGTACTTCGCGTCGGACAAGTACAAAAAGTGGCCCATCACGGCCCCTCACTTTCTGTGGGGTTTCAAGAAGTAATAAAACTGTTTCACAGGCTGCACTGGCTTAAGAATACGTCAACGCAGATGAGCGAATGATCGGGTTAGTTGGCGAAACTTGATGAAACAAACCTAAATCATTTAGACATAGGTAAGGAAAAATGAAGACGGAGTTGCTTTCTCGTTTTACGCACCCTTGAGAATGATAATTAAGTTGTCAATATATTCCGTTTCAACTCACCTTGGCAAAAGGTGAAGGCTACGGCCCCAGTGAGGCAATCAGCACGTCGAAGCGAGGCAAGTGACAATGAGTTGTCGGAGCTCTCTCTTTTTGAGGAGAGTTATCTTTTGTTTTTTGTTAAGTTATAGTTTAATAAAGTTTAAAATAAAGCATTACTTTTTAACATTGGTACACCCTGCACATACTTTTATTTCAAAAGGAGGTGGGTGTTCTAACCCAAATCACTAACAATCATGGAGCAACGCTGAAGTAACGGTGCCTGGGTCAGCTTCTCGCATTGTTCCTGTTCTTCTTTCGCTTACGTAAGGCTGTGTCCTCTTTTTTTCACGTATAAATCAAACTGTAAAGTCTGCCGATGGGGTTTCGACCCATTAAATCAATCTTACATTGACAGCGGAACGATAGAGCGGGAGGACCCTGTCTTTAAAATAGTGGTTAGGGTCTTCAGCAACACATTGTTCTCCAAGACAACAATCAGACAAGTTACTGCTCCATGAGTAACCGCCTTCCCTTTCATTCTTTCTTGAGAGTTTCAACTTCCAAATAGCCACGCACTGTAGTTACTGGGACTCGTCGAGCTTCATCACTTTCCATGACGACCGGAAAGCTTCTTTCGATCGTTAAAAATCTTTAGCAACGAGAAATACTGTTCCGAACAATATTGTTCAATTATTTCCGGCTGCCTAATGAACTAGTGAAGTCGTTTCATTGGGAAAGAAAAAAGAATTCGAAGATATACCGAAAGCAAAAAAAAACGAACAAGTATTTCTATTTTTCATGCAAACATGCTGAGAACGAAGGGGTGCCTGCTAAAGCACACGTATACGATAGACCAGGGGTCTCAAACACGCGGCCCGCGGGCCGCATGCGGCCAGCAACGCGTAGGGAGGCGGCCCGCAGGCCCAAGCGGCTACGAGTCCCGTATCCCATGTCTCGAGCGCTAGAAATGGCATGCGCCATAGTGATCTCATCGCGTCGCTTACTTTTCGCTCCAAAAGTAATTCTGCTCTTTTAACGTATTCACATAGCTTATACTTATCTGTATTCATTTGCCTTTTGTTTTGATATAAATATTGCTTCCCGGCCTTTTTGTAATGTGCGACAATTCCGCTACTAGGTTGCAAGCGCAAGCTATTCGTTGAAGGATGTATCTCAGCTGTAAGGCTACGAGCTCGGGAATATCGCCGCCTCCAAAAACATATCACCATTAAAAGAGCAGTATTGGTTCGAGTGTTGTCGTTAAAATCATCAAGAGAGCAACAACGGTCATATTAATTGATCGTTTCTTAGCGACATGTTGAGCTTGGTAATTCCTGGGTGAATTCATCAGCTGGAACGACAGTGTACGTGTTCTATTAAAATGCTATATTCGTTCTATTAAACATGTTAAAAATGGCAGCACGTTTGGCGATGCGGTGTCATTTTAATTCTTATCGCATCAGGTCAGGGCCCAAAGTAGTCTTATAAACAAGTCAAATCTAAAGATACCACTGGCAAGGCTGTGAGTTTACAAAAACCATAAAGCACAAAGTCTCTCTCCCCCCCCCCCCCCCCTTCCCTCTCCCCATCTTAAGTTGGCCCTCGACATCTCGGATGTGGGATGTCTGGCCCCCACACTCAAATGAGTTTGAGACCACTGCATGCGATAGACGCTTCGCTACGACGAAGGCAAATACTAAATACATACACCAAGCGGGGCTTGTCCTTCCCCCGACCCTTACGTGCTCGGCCGGCTTGACTGGTTCGCGCGTAAGCCACGTGACCCGCGTGCGCTGGAGTTGCCGACTAGAGGCGCTGCCAGCGTGACTCGAAATTCCGTTCTCCAGACGGGACAGGAAGCCGGCCGGCACCAGACAGACGGACAGCGGCCGCTGATCTGAGGTCGTTGAACGACGTGGTTATGTGAGTAGCAGCACTTATCTTTTGCGAACCCTGTTTTGCACGTTTTTAGTGCCGCAATCGCGCTGCTTCGCGGTTTGACAGAGTGGTAATAGAGTCGGATGTGCGAGCAATTCTTTGTTCAGCGTCCGCTGGTGCCTGGTGGGCGTTTGCGTCGTGCAGTGCTAAGCTGAGAACCGGTTTTCGCTGTCGCCCGCTCCACGTGTCCAGACGCCGGCATTGATAGCTCTCCGACAGGTGCGTGTTCCCTTGCAAAAATCTGCAGTTAAATTCTCCTGAACTTCCGTTGAAAATTTTCTGAAATCGTATTGAAACTTTTAAAACTTTTTTTAGGTTTCCCGAGTTTATTTCGACGACTTAGTTTATTTCTGGTTAAAACTGGCCACTGAACGTTTTCTAGTATTTATTTTAAAATAAATCTTGTTGAATTATTTTTAACAAAACCGCGGAATAACGTTGAAACAAAAAAGAAGACTCGAATATATTTTAAGTATATATTTCGATTTTTGTTACGGTCAGTTACAGGTTAAGAAAAGTTTTCGAGGGAAAGGCGGGCAAGGTAGGATGAAACGGAACGAATGCTGGAATGCCACAAAACTTTTCTTAACCTATGAGTGTCTATAGGAAATAGTGTCCCTGTGGTATTTTAATCCAGTATACACATCCCACAAGTACACATTAAAATCGAACAAAAACACAAACACCATGAAGCACTCAACACCAGAATCACAGCCCCGTTAACTGCTCCAGAGCCTTATATCGCCTACATATCAAAGGTAATCATTTGGCCGGTTACCACCTCAGCACTTATTAAGGTTCCAAGTGTCTGATCTGCTTCTCAGGAGTCTGTCAAGGGGAAAACAGCGTTTCGAAGTTCGTGAACTCTATCTCTTACGAAAAAGAATTGGTACAACTAATAATAATTCGGCGCAGTCGCTAAAACGACATGTACAAAAACTGCTCATAGAATAAATGTTATCGCTTTTCAGTGTTTAGGGGTAAGCAAAAGAGGGGGAGGGGGGTTAGGTTAGCGTATTTCAACCTTCCGTTAGGACGTAACGCTAGACAGAGCGAACTTTTATTTGAAGTCGGAAGTAACTTTAATTTAATTTTTGTTACGCCGGACGTAACGCTATACACTGCCATACAATGCAATTTTTCGACGTTTGTTCAGAGTGTTGTATTATCAGAGTGTTTTATTAAACAGAAACAGGAAAGGGAATGAAAAAGAGTTTTACTTAATTTGCCTTTGTCCTTTGATTCTAAAATAAACAATCTTAGATTAAAAGAAAAAGAAGCGCAAAGCAACTTACGATCATTTTTAAAACTCTTACAAAACATCAAAAGGAAAAAAATCTGTAGAAAATGTATTATAATGTAAATGTAAAATAACAGCTGAAAAAATTTGAGCTGTTATTTTTCAAAACGCTCTTTCGAATTATAAAAAAAGATGTCCTCATTATTTTAATTAAAAAAATGAAGATTTTTTCTTCTTTTTTATAAAATAATATAAAAATAATGTCAATATTTTTTCTTAATTTTTTTTATACAGTCGTTTAAACAAAAACATCGTTAGTTTTTTTAACTTTTTAGAAAATAGCCTACAAAAACGCCTTACTTCTTTTTTTAATTTTTTTATAATAAGCCTACAAAAAACATTATTTTCCTTTCAAAGTTTTTTGACAATAATCAAAACAAAGTGCGTTTATGGAGTAGGATCCCGGAAAGTCGGTAAGGACCCCCCAAAAAAAATTAAAAATAATGTTTAGGCCTGTTTTTGTAAGGTCTGATATTACTAGTTGAATTTGAAGAGAAAGCGAGGTTTGCTAAAGTCCTTTGTTCGATGACTCCAAGGCAGATCTATAGATAGCATCTTAGACAAAATAATTGAATAAGTTTACGAGTATAATCGATCAAGATATTAACTGTTTCTAATCTATATTCCGTCTAGTCGTTCATACGTCATAAAGGTTCAACAAATATGGTTAAAACATCAGCCTATTAAACTAAGCGTGCATTGCTGTCACGATTTTGAAAATAGGGTGATGGGTAACGAATCGCGTAAGCGATTTTTTGTTTCGATAGACTTCACCAAATAACCAGCATCTTTTTAAGTGGTCAATTATAAATATATTTTGAGGGGGTGTTGTTCTCATAAGTTTCTTGACTTGAAAAGGTAAAAATATATTTATAAAGGGACACGTTTCTGTATGGTGCGGAACGTAGTAAATAAAAAAAAAGGTAAATGCTACAGTACTTTTATGTTCATCGGTAATACCTAGTGAATATAGCGAACTTCTCCAATTTTATCAATGTGTAGCGCCGTAAAACCACGTGAGTAAAAAAGTTATGTCCGTTTTCTAAACAAAAACAGGTGACATTATTTTTTGTAGTGTCAGCACGTGTGCAAGAATATCCTGACAGAGTATTTTTTCCGGGTGCCATAGTATTAGTTTCGTTTTTAGCATCGGCCTTGTTTCTAAAAATACACATTTTAAACAATGTAATATTTACGGCGTTAAACAGAACCAGAGCATTAATTTTATTATACGCGTATAATATTATAGTGTGAACAATGTGTCCCCTAGAACACCACACAGGCAGCACGCCAGAAAAAAGGCCTAGCTTAGGACAAGCTTGGCAAAGTTGCCTAACGTGGGCTTAAAATAGTTTTAATCTCAAGGCCCAACCAGATGGATAAGGAATTTCTTCACGCGCTTCGGCCGCGTCAGCTACGCGGCGCGTTTCCCGAGGTCACCCAACGGAATTCGACGCGCGTGCCGGCGCCGAAATCTCGCAGAGACAGCTATCGGCGCGGAGCGACGCGCGCCGCCTCGAGATGATTCTGTCGCAGTCGAAGCGCGTGAAAAGCTTCCTACGCTGCCAATGGCGTACATAGGGGTGATGGCTCCCATGGAAATAGTTTTTTCGCGCCCCTAATGAGGGTGATGATGGTGATGATGATGATGATTTTATATAAAATCCATTGTTTCCACGGAAATGGACTTGCTGTGTCACAGCGCATTCATTCTATTGCATGCATTGTACTGAACACGCATGTTAGGAAAATACGAAACAAGATAAGCTCCTGTCAAACAACCACGTAGTCATTGCGTACGCACCCATGTTTTGTTTTAAAAGGAAATAATATAGATTTTTAAAATTGAATGAGTTTTAAATAACTCGGAACCACACAGAACAGAAAAACCCATCCGAAAAGTGCTCCTTAGGTTTCCGACATTTTATTTCCCACCTTTGACCATCTACGGAAGAAATATGAACCTGAAATGATTAGATCGTGGTGCTGCATAAAAAATTGCGACAAAAATTCTTGATTTCGCGGATGCGAATTGGTCTACACCGTCAGCCCAGTCAGTTTGCTCAGTTTCGTCTCTCTCTACAGTCTACTGAGCGCAATCAGAAAGTCTGTCGGTGCCCTTGGTCCATTCCTAACTCAGGGGCTCGTCTAACCTAGCGTAGCCCCCCCCCCCCCCCCCCCCCCCCCCCCCAGCACACAGAAACACAGTTTAACATCCGTGTCACATGTCCTCCCGTACCACAATGCCACACCCTAGGTACGATACTGCATGTGGCGTGGCTTTAAAAGGCAACTCCGGTTCATTTTTAATATCAAGAAAAGAACGCAGTTGTCTTTAAACGTTACTACAGTGTCGGTGCAGCCCACCCTGTACTACCTACGTTATGCTCAGGAAGATTTGTTTGCTTGTTTTCTGGTCTTTTAAGCAGAACCTACAGGCGGCTTTAGCAGCGCGCTCAATGTTGACCTTGTGATTCGCGGGGCGCGAATGCGCTTGTTTGCTCCCGTGCGAGCATGCGTTATCAGTGGCAGGCTGCAGCACCCGTCGAGTGCTAAAGAGGCAGTTGGCGACGTTAAGCACGGCATACTTCTGCGAACCCGTCGCGACATATTTACCTGTGGTTTACTGAACTCCCCTTTCTACTATGTACTGTTTTTAAAAGAAGCCCTGGGGAAAAAAAAAACCTGCTTTTTTTGCTGCGCTAAAACTCAAGCTGCAGCCGTGGTGGTGCAGGCGTCGTCGGGTGTAGCACTTAGTGTCTTGTGCAACTCGATAAAACATTGCATTAATTGCATTAACATCAGAGTACTTTTCTTAATCGTTTTCGTGGCATTTTTGTGGCTGGCCGTATAATTTCCAAAATGCTAGACTTGAGCTGAAGATGTCACCTATGAACCAAAGAAACAGCAGTAAAACCTAAATTTGGCCCTTTCTTTTTTTTTTTTGGCAATTTGGGCCAAAAGTTGCAGGTGAAAACAGAAGAAACAGCAGTAAAACTTAAATATGGCACTAGTTTGACGATTTATGCCTGAAGCTGTCGGTTGACGGCCAATCTACCAGCTAACTTCGGCACTTTCTCGGCGAATTAGGGCCAAGGTACCCAGGCTCAGCCCCCAAAAAGTTATGTTTGTCTCCACCTTGGCCTCTCCTGGCCTTTTAAGGCCCTAAACACCCATAGAAAACCTCCATTTTGGCTCAAAGAACTGTGCTACCTGGGTAGGTTCTTTCTTGAAACCGTGATTGATCATATAATACATCAAAATATTGTCTGTGTCAGTATAAGAACTACACAACACGATCTGCCTCCGGGTTCCTAGAAAGAAATGGTAATATTACGCACTAAGAACGCACCAGTTTTATGACGTCGCAGAAATCGTCACAGAAATGGTGGAAAATCTCAGTGGAAACTCTACACAACATTATTTATTTTATTTTCTCCGTTGCTCCACCAGTACCCTTTATATTTAAAGGTAGGAAAAAGGACAAAAACACAACCCCGCCTCATCCCCTATGCAGCTTGGCGCAGTGAAGGGGAGCGTTGTTTTCCATGGGCGGGGACTCTTCAGTAGATATGCTGCAAGAACCGGTAGTTTCAATTTTACCTTCGAACTCAAGGCGACACCATGCTTCTTGCCTCACCTGAGTTAGCATTCCCACCTAAACCTTACCTTCGCGCTCTCTCTTCACAGACATCTCCGAAACAATGGCACCTACTCTCGGCTACTGGAACATCAGGGCCTTGGCCCAGTTCTGCCGAAACGTGCTCGTGTACAAGGGCGTGCACTTCGAGGACAAGCAGTACAAGTTCGGGCCGGCCCCAGACTTTGACCGCTCGGACTGGCTCAAGGAGAAGTTCACGCTGGGCCTGGAGTTTCCCAACCTGCCGTACTTCATTGACGGCGATGTGAAGCTGACGCAAAGCCTCGCCATTCTGCGCTACCTCGGTCGGAAGTACGACCTCGCGGCAAAGTGAGCAATACGCTTTTCTGAAGTTAGAAACAGAAATCAGCTTAAAGAGCATCACTTTTTAAAGTCTAGGAACCAACTAACCCATCTATTCACTTTGTTAAAGAGATGGTGGTGTAAACAGGTTGTAGAACAAAAACACTTCTGCAGTGGAGACGGTGCCTTCAAGTGAAGCCGGCATACAAATGACAAGATGGCGGCGAGCCGCCATCTTGCCAGGTGAATATAACAAACATCGTTGGCTTTTCCGTTGCACACGGATAAACAAAAGGAAGTGCAAACCAGGATTCACCCCTCCTATCGGTAGGTATATTGGCGGCATCCGCTCGAGCCGATCTTTGTTGTAACCGCCTTGGTGTTAAACAAAGTCGAGGCAGGCTGTCAAGTGGGGTTTGAAGAGGCACGAAACATTTGATGTGCTCTCAAGATGATTAGATAAACTAGAGAGATAGGAATAGACCATAAGTAGAAAGCAAACTTGTGAACGAAAGGCCTCGGATTCCATAGTGACCCTATACACGTCAAGCTGTGGTGCCACGAAAATAGGAAAAAAAAGTTTGCACTACTAACTAGGTGCTGAAAATTCTAGAATATTTTTTTATATAGAATTTTCTATATGCAGAATATATTTTCTAATTTGGTATTTTTGCGTTACATTTTCCCGGCTATATCACAATAGTTTCTCGTCGTTTGACGGACTTATTACTTGAGAAAAGCCAAGTTTTCATATTCACGTTCACATTTGATACAGAAAGCCCACACAACACGGAAAGCTAAGTAGAATTTGACGAACAGCTCCCTGCCCCCTGAGGGACATACGCGGAGACCTTCAGTGTGAGCCGCCTCTATGTCCGTAAATGTCTACTGGTTCCAGGAGTGACGAAGAGGCTGTGGAGGTGGATCTCTTGGAGCAGCAGGCGAGGGATCTATCCACGGGTCTCCTTATGGCCACCGCGCCGAGCCCCAACTACCAGGAAAATGTGAAGAAGTACGAGGAGAACGTCATTAACTTGCTCAAGCCCTGGGCCGAGCACTTGAAGACGCGGAAGTGGGCTCTGGGAGACAGGCTCACCTACGTCGACTTCCTGCTCTACGAGGGCCTTGACTGGCACCACGAGTTCAAGGCCGACGCGTTTGGCGACTTTCCTATGCTCCTAGAGTACCTCAAGAGATTTGAGGACCTGCCTAACCTTAAGGAATATTTTGCGTCAGACAAGTACGGAAAGTATCCGATTGTGGGCCCCCATCGAAAATGGGGTTTCAAGAAGGAATAAAACGAGCTTCGAGAGCGAAGAAGCCGTAAACCAACAAAATTCGTTGTTAATAATTAAGCCGTAGTATTTCGATTTAAATCGAGGTTGGGGATCTCATATATTAAAATATCGGCGAATTGAGTGACACTGTAAAAGGTCCTACAACACGATAAATTATATTTTAGACGGTACGTGCGTTTGAAGTTGGCCCAGATTTTCAGTAGTGATGAAATAAACTTGAGAATAAGTACACACATAAATTATTGCTTGTCAAAATGAAATAAATATCGCTAATAAACTTGAGAATAAGTACAGATATAAATAACTGCTTTGGAGAATGAAATAAATATCGCAAGTAAAAACATGATTTAGTTGTGGTTTTTTTCTCTCGGCATCACCACGCAAGTTTCCTGAGCACGATATGCAAACCACCCCAACAAGTCTTGTTAACCTGATTTATAGAATGAAATCTAGGACAGCATGACGGCAAATAATGAGAATTGAAGAACTGACCTATAGAATAAAGACTGGGACAATTTAAACGCAATAATAATTTTTTTTTTTAAATTTTGGTGGACGCACAGGTTTGGCCTTTAAGATTGGAACTCGACAAGCGTGACTTGCATGGCCGAGATTCCACTTCCGGCCGCCGATGCGTACGGAAGTGCGTATCGACGTGCGCATCGCGGTATCAGGAGTGCTGATGCTGCATCTCAGGATTACGAACTTCTTTGGCGACGCTGCCTTCAGGACCTCCGTTTAGAACACCATTTGTTTACATGCGGATGTGAAAGCCAGGTTGTACCATCTGGAACACTTTTGAGGCGCCCTCGCACTGGCGGCATATCACCCTGAGGTGCTTGCCTTGGGGACGTATCAGTATGACCATGTATGGGCAGTAACCTTTAAGAGCCACGAGGGGAAGAAGAGGCTGCTTGCAGTTGACTACTTCAAAATTAAGGACCGTTGCTGCGTCATGGTAGACCGGAATAACAAAGACGTCCGTAAGAAGCTCCACTGGCTGCTGCATCACGTCGAAGACAAGGTACGTGCAGCCCTTGTGCCCTACGGAAAGGTGACGGTTGTCACACGGGACAGGTGACGCGTCTTAGGATGCACGGACATGGCGTCAACGACGCACTCGGTCTCCCTCAAGCTGAAGCCCGGAGTCACGTTGGACGACCTCTCCCACCAGCTCCACACCACCGGTGACCTGGCGCTGGTGGTGGTGCCCGGCAGGACGCAGCTATTCCTGCGGTTTAAGGGCGAGGGCCACATCCGACGGGAGTACCGAGTGCCGCCTTGTGTGCTCTGTCGCCGCTTCGGGCACGACGAGAGCCAGCGCAGGACCCATGGGGAAAGATGATAACTCAGAGCCCCTAATGGACGGGTCAAATGCCGAGGAGGCCGCATCGGTGCTTCGGACGGGGACCCAAAGGCAGACGTCATATCGGCATCGGAAGCTGAAGGGAAGCCAGGCAAGGCCGACGCGGCATTGGGTGTGGCCTCTACGCGGCACGCTGGACAGCCTGATGATCCACCGTCTGAGAGGGCTCAACTAGCGGCGTAGAAACCAACGTCGCCGAGGACTCTGCCGTCGACGCAACCATGCTTGACGCAGAGGCCTCGGCAAGCTACCCTAACATCAAAAGGTCTCGAGAGGACGACGGCACGGACCCAAGCGCAGCAAGCCACGAGGAGCCGCTTCCGAAGGCGACACCGCTCGAGTGGCCACGTCTTCACATCAAGCCAAAGGTCCCTGTTGACGACGCAAGAGTGATTAAACCACCCCCGTGACTGTGTGCGCCTGCAGCTGGTTTTTGGACTCGGGACGGTTAGACACCAGCTCCGCGTCGACACGGGTCAGAGGGCCTTCGGCCTGAGGTAAGCACCATGCGGTCTTTCTCTTCATGGCATGGCACTACGGTTAGAATCGCCCTACAACAGAACAGCCCTGCCATTTTTTCAACTTGAAACCATCGGAACGCCTTTCCCGCCAATCACGGAACTCAGCGCAGACCTTGGCTGGCAACACTGCTCTACTACAACAAGCCCGCGACTACTTAAACAACAAGCTCCGGACCGGCATTTCGGGCACGTCACCTCTCTAGAAATGGAAGGCTTACCGCTCGCTCTCGTTCAGGTTGGTGTAATTCACCTTGATTGTTACAAAAACGATGACCTCTTGTTAATAGCGGTGTTGTGCCCGACCCATTGGTATCTGTTCATCATTGATAGCATTACTTACGCCGGTGGCTGTTGTAACCAATTACTTCTCTTATTATCCGGTGATGTAGAGACTAACCCTGGAATGACTAAGGCTCAGGAAGCCCAATTAGAGTCTGTCCTGGCCATTGTACGAAACCTTAAAGAAGGGCAAAATGAAGTTTTAAGCGAACTAAAAAAACTGAGAGAAGATCAGTCTCGTACTGAATCAGCCGTGACTGCCCTGACTAAAAGAGTAGCGAATGTGGAAGCATGCGAGTCTAGTTTGGACGAAATACGCAAAGATGCAGAAAGCACAAAAATATAATTAAAAAGCATGAAAGAACAAATTCATACTTTGGAATCACGGTGTGAGGACGCGGAGAATAGAATGCGACGTTCCAATCTTGTGTTCTATGGTCACGCTGACAAACAAAATGAAACGTGGGCCCCATCAGAAAAACTGGTTCTTGACATGTGCTCTCGCAACCTGGGTCTTTCGCTACAATCTAGTTTCGTAGAAAGAGCGCACAGGCTAGGTCACTTTAACGATAATAAAACACGCCCTATCATCGTCAAGCTTTCTTCTACCAAGCATAAAGATAGTATCTTGAGCGCGTGTTACAAATTAAAATAATACCGGTTTTGCCGTCAGCGAGGATTTTTCACCAGCAGTACGCGAGGCACGGCGAAAACTGATTGAGTTTGCGAAACAACAAGGAAAGCAGTATAAGCTGCGCTCGAACAGATTAGTCATTGATAACAAAACATTTTGCTTCGACTGCGCAAAAAACAGTACACATGAAGAAAAAAAGCCATAGGAGATGTGTACACGCCGCCGCCCACCCCAGTCTTTCCGAGTACGCAGAAACACCAAGTCATGTTCGGTCGTTTTTACAAATATAAGAAGTGTTTTAACAAACCGCGACGACCTATTATCACTAATTGAATCATGCACTGCCGACCTCGTCATTCTGACAGAAACGTGGCTGAAACCCGAAACTGCTGACTCAGAAGTGTTCCCCCGCAATATGAATTATACCTTGCACAGATGCGACAGACTAACAAAGAGGGGTTGCGGTGTCCTAATCGCTATCCGCAATCATATTAGTGCGTCACAAGTTAACGTTCCAGGTAACCTCGAGATGGTATGGCTTCAACTTCACTCTCAGTGTTCCGATATCTTGATTGGTGTATGTTACAGAGCACCCGATCATCACGCTAGTTTCATTAGCGAACTTCATGACTCCCTCTCGTCCATCTTTAATACCCTTAAACCAAATGCGTCGGTCATCCTCTTTGGCGACTTCAACTTTCCGAATATTGATTGGAACTCCCTTTCATCAGGTCATCAGTTTGATAATGAGTTCATCGACCTAGCTCTTACGTTTAACCTCTCCCAAATGATAACTAAACCAACACGAGTTAGCCATCACTCTAGCAACATTCTTGACCTGTGCCTTACTACTGACCCCTCACATGTGAATAACATCACTCATCTTCCCGCTATTAGTGACCACAATGTTATACACTTAAACCTGCAGTTTGACGTCGTCATCAGATCATGCCATTATAAATTTATTAAAGACTACAATATAGCTGACTATGATGCAATTAATAGAAATCTTCAACAGTTTTATGGTACTTTTCATATCAACTTTTATCAAAGAACAGTTGAGGAAAATTGGAATCTCTTTAAAAACAAGGTTACAACTCTGACTGACACGTACGTTCCAACCATCAGAATTAAAACAAACAATGCAAAGCCTTGGTACAACAAGAAAATCTCCAAATTAAGTGCTCGGAAGAAACGACATTTCAAGCAAGCTAAAGAAAAGGACAATACTATTGCATGGGATAATTACAACGCGTCTGCTAAGGAATATAAAAGAGAAGTGAAAAATGCAAAGAACAAATTTTTTAACTTCGACCTTCTTAACATTTTGAAGAATAAGCCTAATAAGTTCTGGGAGGTCATTCATCCTAAAGAGCATAAATCCATTCACCTGACTAACATGAATGGAACTCCCGCGTCTGATAGCGAAAGCGCCTCACTAATAAATACCTACTTTAGCTCAGTATTTACACTAGAAAACAATGACAATATTCCTCTCCTAAATCACCTTTCTCATTCTGCTATGCCTTCAATCGAAATAACATATTTGGGTATAGTGAAAGCGATAGAAAATCTAAAAAATTCTGCCAGCTCCGGTGATGACCAAATAAATTCTAAATTGCTGAAAAACACAAAACATATCTCATCCCAATTTTTAACCCTTATTTTTCAACGGTCACTTGATGTCGGCAAGCTTCCGTCTGATTGGAAAATTGGTAGAGTCATCCCCATTTTTAAAAGTGGGGATCGTAATGTTGTATCGAACTATCGCCCAATATCTCTCACCAGCATCTCATGTAAATTACTAGAGCACGTCATTTTCTCTTCTACCATGAAATATCTGGAAAATTACAATCTGCTTTTTAAGAATCAGCATGGTTTTCGTAAGACATATTCGTGTGATACCCAGCTAATACATTTCATTCATGAGCTTCACAGTAACCTTGACAACAGATGACAGACCGATGTCATTTTCATAGACTTTTCTAAAGCATTCGATAAAGTTCCCCACCAACGTCTGCTACAAAAACTAACCCAACTGCGTATTCATAATTCAGTAATCGCTTGGATCAAAAATTTCCTATCCGATCGTACACAATATACTGTTGTAAACGAGTCCCGTTCACCTCTTTCTCGTGTAACGTCCGGCGTACCCCAAGGTAGTGTTCTCGGCCCCTTGCTGTTTTTAATATACGTTAACGACCTTCCTGCTAACCTAACATCTGAAATTCGCCTCTTTGCTGACGATTGTGCTCTATACAGACCGATAAGTACTAATAATAATCACCTACTCTTACAGGCTGACTTACTAATAATAGAAGAATGGTGTCAAACATGGCAAATGACAGTTATTGTAAATAAAACGAAACTAGTGTCTTTCACCAGATCACAGTCCTCATCACTCTTTTCATATCAACTCAACGACACAATAATTGACCCCTGTACATCTTATAAATACCTCGGCGTTCATTTAACCTGTGATCTATCTTGGGCAACTCACATTAATTTTATTTTATCTAAGGCTAATTCATCATTAGGATATCTTC